CAAATAAAATAGTATATTGTTAAAAGATTATGGTTCTTATATAAAAAAAGTTATATTGATTGTCTAATTATAAGTCCATTTGTTTATAAACTATAAATCAAGATCAAAAAATTCAAAAAAATATTTTGTTTGTATTTTATAAAATATAAGTGAAAAAAAGGAAAACACTAATCCCAACTAAAATTACGAATTATAATAACATTTGCCTATTCAATTATCATAGTTTTTGATCGATTTTTTTACTGATTAGATTTGCAATATTCATTTCTTAATTTTTTTAATCTGATTTTATATTATATACATTTTTTCTGATTACAGTATAAATTTTTTTCGCTGTGAACTTACGGTATATTTAATTACAAAGTTTAAAGTTTCATCCAAGATATTAGCGAGTGAGAATAATCAAGCTATTTTTTTTTATCTAAATAGTTTTAATAATATAGTATATCCAGCTGTTGCATGATGTCAATTACTGTCAGTTTTTGCAATTTTATGAAGTTTATATGCTGCAAGAACGGCTTCGTGTTGTTTTTTCTGCTATATTAAAAAATTTGAACAATATATTAGTTATAAACAATATTTTTGTAAATTATGCCATTAATTACAACATCTATAGATAAATTTAATTTTTCTATATGGGTAATTATTTTCGAAGGCGAACCGGAAATTTTCTGGTACTACAATTGTGATCATTATGTGTGTGTATTGTTTAAAAGTAGGGTCCGAAAAAATCATATCTAGCATTTTTGTCGTCTTCAAAAATAATTACACATATGAATAAAAAGCGCCACTGTCCACCCCCATTGGAAATTCAATGATGATAAAATATCTGATCATTTCTTTATATATACAATAGAACAGGATGCGTCTAAATTAGTTACAAATAACTTCCCATTAATTAAGTAAAATCGGGAAAATCATTCTAGTGTTATCACTAGTAAATTTAGTAAATTATAGACAGGTACATTGTCCATTTCGGACTCAGATAGTATGATAGCCAAACTTTATTTTAATTCGGATTATTGTTCTGATGGTTATACGGTACATACTGTATGTATGACTGTTTTGTGTTTATAAATAACGAAATTTTTTCTTTTTTTTTTTTTTAAAAAAAAAATCAATTTTAAAGAAAATGACAAATTTAATTGTATTTTCTTTGGGTTTCGATTGGATTTCCATAACTTTGATATTTCTAGTCCTTTATGTAGCAAAATATTATTATGATTATTATACACGTGAAAATCCTCTACCAGGGCCTCTTCCACTTCCAATCATTGGAAACCTTCATCAAGTATTATTTCATAAGATAGGCGACATTGATTTAGGAACATGGTCATTTAATCTTCGCAAAAAATACGGGGAAACATTTGAAATTTATTTAGGATCATTACGCACTATAGTCACAGGTGATCCTGAATCTATAGATAAAATATATAACCCATCTTTAAAAAATGGATTTTTTGTTCGCCCGAAAATGAATGGGCTTTCTGAATTAGGGATGAACAATGGTCTTATATTAAACAATGATCAAAAATCTTGGAGTCGAAATCGAAAATTCGTTTCACAAACTTTGCAGTCGCCAAAATTCTTGCGTGAGTTTGCCGGTATCACGCAAGATTTATTTGACAAAGTTGAACGTAATTGGACATCTGGAGTG